TCAAGACCAGTGTTAGCTGCCACAAAAAGCAGCATCTCAGAGCACTGGACTCGTTGGGCCCATGTTCACAACATTTGTTCATGGCTAAAATGTCTATTTCTGAGACAGTTGTAACATGTGGGATTTAAACATCAGAGCTGCGTTCTGAATCACTGTGTGCTTGAAAAGCATCCTGTGTAGGTGTATTTCATAGTGCCACCCTGTTGTGTGTATGATGTGGAAAACCTGGTGCCTCCTGTCTTCCACCTTCGATGTTCTTGGCCCTGCCTGTTGGAAGAAGGCTGGAAACAGTTGATGCAACTATCAAGAGAACAAAGGCTCTGTTTCACAACATGCAAGCCTGGTTACCTATTCTGGTGTGGCAACACATTTATTTTTATTTTTTTTCACTCCTGCCTTTGTGATCTATTCTGGTCTCAAATACTTGCATCCTTTCCAGATCCAAAAATCCTAAGAGAATCCAAGGGACTTGAAATTTTAGCCATCTGTTCAGAGTGCTTGTAGCTGTTGTGAAGCTTCCATTTGTTACCCAGTGAGGATGGATGTTGCCTACTCAACAAAGGGCTCCTTCAGTGCCAGCTCAGTGGGTTGCAGAAGGAAGGTTGTGCAGATGAACACGATGCAGAGCACATGTGGGTTTGGGAATGTTGGGAATCTCATTAACGCACCCAGTGCTGCACAGTTGGGTGCTGCATGCTGATTTAGGTTTCACAGTGAGCCAAAATCGTCAAGTCGTTACCATTCTCTTAACTGCATTGTATCCTTGGAGCCTGGTTAATTAGTGTTCTTTTTTTTCTCATTTAGATACAGCACACAGAAGACATGGAAAATGAAATAGATGAGCTGTTACAGGAATTTGAAGAGAAAAGTGGAAGGACTTTTCTTCATACTGTCTGCTTTTATTAAAGCACATCTGTCTCCTAGGCCTTAATACAGATGAGAGAAGCATGTGTTTAAAGTTCTGATTATACTGTATTTTCCTGGAAAATGAATATTGATTTTTTTGTTTTGTTTTGTTCAAGACTCCTCTTCAGTGGTTGTTTTGGTTTCAGGTATTCTGTCACAGGCAGGCAGAGATACCAGTTGAATTGTACATATGCAAAGTATGCACAAAGGCCACCTATTTAAAAATGAAAATCAAGATTTCCTTTAAATCCTACTTCAATTGTTACGAGTAGGCTTTTAATTATAAAGAGAGTATTTCTTGAATATAAGTTTATAATGTATTTTTCCAGCTTAAAAGTTTATTTTATTTCAGTTGTGCTTTCTTTTTTTTTTATTATTTTAATGTGACAGAATGGCTGAACTATGTGAAGATATGAATGGAGCGATGACAAATGAGTTATCTGTATATTATTAGATATAAGATTGGAAGCATCCAATAAAAATGAAAAACCTGCAAGTCTGTCTGTTTCTGAAATAGAAGCCAAGCAAGCTGTGAGTGCTCTGCAAGGTCTGGACGGGAGCTGGAAGAGCTGCTCTGGCCCTGGCTTGGAGGCACTGGTGTTTGGGCACATTCCCTTGGTTGTTGATCCTGTGTTGAACCCAACCCAACTGCTTTCTCCACGTGAATTTGGGCACCTCCACTAAATCTTTTTCGGGTCTTCATTGCTTTTGAATGACTGTATGTGAGACTGAAATATAAGGGTGGAACTGTAGCTGTCAGGGCCCAACTGTATATATGTCTTCTATAAGGAGGAAGGGGAGAAACTGCAAACTCTGCTGTTAATAGAAATGGTTTGAAGCTTTGTTAACTGAAATGTCTTTTGAATGGAAATATTCTCTGCACATACAGCAATAATAAACGTGTTTGTCACAGCCTGCAATCCAGATGCTGACTATGTACATGTGAGCAGAGCAAAAGCTCTTTGTGCAAACTGGTAGGAATTAAAAGCACCAGCTTAAAAGTGAAGACAGACCAAATTATAGACATTTCCAGTGCGAGTGGTAAATCGCTGTTGCTTAAAGGCAAGAGGAGATCTTAAAAGCTGTTTTGTTAAAGGAAGCCGTGAAGGATTTGGAGCAAGTGAAGTCTGTGTGCTCTTTAGTGCTTTGAGAAGTGGAGACAACTTAAATGTGCCAGAAGTGAAGTGGCATGAAATGGAGCTTGGGCTCCTGGCTTCGCGCCTGCCTTCTCACTGCCTTCTCGCTGCCCTCTGGCAGCTCAAGGGAAGGCTCAGTGCTTTGGTAAGATGCTGATTTCCCTGTGCCTGAAGCCAATGCTGGGGGTTGGCTCTGATTTTTAGGGTGGTGCTGCTCTTTGAAGTTGCTCATCTCAAAGTCAGTTGATCCCAAAGGGATCCTGGGCATCCCTGCCCATTCCTTTCAGCCACCCTATGAGAAAGCCACAACCTGCTGGCTCACTCAGCGTTCTGGCCAGTGCCCAAATGGGTCAGAGCATCGTGCACGGGGTGCAGGAATGTTTTGTATCCCTCAAACACTTGTGCTGCTTTTCTTAGCTATGAAAACAAACAGAGGAAAAATCCTGCAGAGAATGAATGAAGAGAGCAGAATGCTTTGGGATGGGGAGTTGAAGCAGCAGCTCCCATACGGTGTGCAGGGTGGGTTTGTATGGGTTTGTCCTGTGCTGGTTTGTTTCGGGAGGCTCTGAGAAGGATTTCATTCAGCCTCCTCTGCTTTTCTGCTCGGTTGTCTGATGCCACAGCTTGTTGCCATGGGGATCCATACAGCCCGGGGAGGAGAAGGGTTCTGTAGGGACTGAACTGCTTCAGTTGATCCCTTTAAAGATGTATTTCAAGCAAGCATGGTGCTGAGTGTCTGGAGCAGAGTTCTCTGTGCGGCATCAGGACTGAAGCCTTCGCTCTTGGTTTCTGTGTCGGGAAATGTTTTCTATTTTCAGCTGAACTCATTCTATACAGAGCTCTTTGGGTTGTGCCTGCTGGGCACAATGCACTTCTTGGTTTGGTTGATAGGAGATTTCTACTCTGAAAGAGAGCTTTCAGCTCTGCTCTGCTTTCCCATCAGGTCAGAACTGGATGATCTTTAAGGTCCCATCCAACCCCAAGCCATTTTTATGAGTCGATTCTGCTTTTCTTTCACCCAGGTGATGCTGTTGGGCTGTGTGTGGTGCAGGACAGCCCTTCCTCAGCCCTCAGTGCTGCCGGATGCACCAAGCTGAGGATCAATGAGTTACAGCCCAGCTAGGCAGACTATCCAGCTCCAACTTTTGTTGCTATTGCACGTGGGAACTTAGGTGAAGGTGTTGGGAAAACAAGTGCTGGGACCAGCATGGGAGCACTGAAAGGAATGGGAATGCCTGGAGTCCCATCTCCCACTGCTGGGTGCTGAGCCTTGGGAGATTCTGTACCATGGGTGGGAGCAAAGCTGGGTGTAATGGGGTCTGTGCATGGAGAGCCTGGCTTAGCAAATGCTTCACATGTGTGGTTTCATTAAAAAAAAAAAAAAATCATCTGCAATGCAATCTGTGCTCTAATTTGAGGGCACCGTTTAGTGATTTTAATTGTGTGACAGTATTTTGGTATTTCCAATGCCCAGTAGTAGGTTAATGACTGTTCCTTGAAGAATGGAGTTTATATAACACAAGTCATTACATAAGGAGGCTGATCGTGGCCTGGGGAGCTGAAGGAAAACAAAAGATGCAAGAATGCAAACCCTCGAAGCAGCAAACGGTGGCCCCGAGTGCCAACAAGGTGATGATAACCTTGAGTGATGTGCTGTGGCTGCTGCCCATCCCTATCGCATGGTTTAACGGCACGACCGACCAAGCCAAACAAAAGTTGTTACCTGTTCACCGAGCTATTTTTTTTGCAGGACGAACCCAAACGTGGCCCACAGCTCGACGATGTAAAACCATGCGAGAATCCAGAGCACGACCTTCCCTCGGATCGTGGGCTCGAGAGATGCTAGGATGTGGGACTTCGTGGCATTTCTGCTCTCCCGCATCGTCGCGGGGTGGGAATGCGGAGATGCGGGGCCGGGCCGGGACCCCCGCGGCTGCGGGGCGGCAGGGAGAGCATCGGGACCGCGTTCGGGCCGGGATGGGAGCGGGGAAGACCCGGGAGGGAGGAAGGGCGGGGTGGGGATGGTGCGGGACTGGAAATGCGGCCAAGCGCCGCTGCCGGGGCTCCGCTCGGAAAACCGTGCGGCTGCCAGGCGGGGGGAAGCCCGGCAAGGGCAGGTCTGCAGCGCTGCCGCTCGAGATGAGCCGCTCCCGGAGCAGCGCGTCCCCGCCTTAGGTAAAGGGCCGCGGATGGGAGGGAGGGAAGGAGGGGAGGGAGCAGGGGTGGGGGCGGCCGGCCCGGCGGGGAGCAGCCCCCCACAGCCCGCCCAGCCGGAGCCGGAGCCCGAGGGGCTGCGGGCATTGCCCCGGGGCGGGAGGGGGGGAGGGGGGGAACAGCGGAGGGGGAGGACGGGGGGGGGGGGGGGGGGGTGGTTGTTTTTTGGGTGGTTTTTTTTTTTTTTTTTTTTTTTTTTTTGCGCCGATCGGGAGAGGTTGATTTTGGGGAGGGTCGGGAGAGAGGATGCAATGAGGCTCCCCCGGACTGGGTGATTTTTGTGGCTTGCCTCCTCCTCCCCCAGCCTCCCCCCGGCCTCGGCTGCCTCACTCTCCAGTTGCTGCATGCGGGGCTGTGCCGTGTGCCCGCTCCCGGAGCCGCCGTGGCGCACCTCCATCGGCCGACAGCCTTGAAGGGAACGCATTTTTTAGAGTATTCATCCCATTTTTAAGAGATATATATATATTATTTTTATCCTTACCTGTCACCTTCGTCTTAGGAAAAAAAAAATAATAATAATATCTATCTACAAAATAACAACATAACCCTCCCCCAGCGGGCAGCCCGAGGCGCCCGGCACGGGGCAGTGCGGGTGTGAGCGCGGGGGGCGCCCCGCCGCCCCACCGCCCCCCGCCGCAGCGCAGCGCGATGCGCTCCGGGCTCCGCGCTGCGCAATAGCGCGGCCGCCGCTCGCAGATCGCGGGCTGGGGGCGGCCGGAGCCGATCGCTACCGATTCCCCGTTGATGTCCATGAATGCAAACACCATGATTTTCATGATCCTGGGCGCCTCTATCGTTATGGTAAGAGATTTTGCTTATTTCCCTCCCCTCCACCCCCCCTTTTTCCCTTCCCCGGCCCCGCGCGTCCCTGTGTGCTCGGTGTGTGTGTGTGCACGGTGTGTCTGCCCCGGGGAACACCAGCGATTATCTTCTATATGACCGCTTCAGTCTTTGGCAATCAAACTGGAGTCAATGTTTTATTCCATCATCCAGAGTTGACCAGATGCCTTGGTTATGGGCTCTTACAGGCAATAGCTTGCTTGATGGACATGAATGCGTTGCTGGACAGATTTCACAATTACATCCTACCGCATCTGAGAGGGGAAGACCGAGTTTGTCACTGCAACTGTGGCAGGTGAGTTAACCTGCGACGCCGGGCTCACCTGACCCAGCCCCTTCCACCCCACCTGGCTGGTGGAGGCCCTGTCTGCATTCTGGCCGTGTCTCAGCATCAACATGGGGGGGGGGGGGGTGGGTGTGTTTTTCTCCGAGAAGAGTTTGCCGTGGGCCTGCAAGTCCATTTTCCTTTGTGTGCATGCGTGTGTGCAGGCATCCGGCAGCCCTGGGGAGGAAAGGAACTTGGATTGAATTCCAACACTCCGTGTTTTGCCTTCGCAGACACTGGGCTGTGTGCTTTCCCTGGGGAGAAGGGAGGGGGGAGGGTTGTAGGCTGGATGTTGGTGAGGATGGAAGGGGTCGGGGTCTGGGCAGCCCTGCACCCAGGATGGAGTGCTGCTGCTGCTGAGGACGGTGTCACTTTGAGGCTCTGTGATTGTCAGTCAGCTTCCAATTCTCAGTGGCTTTTCTCCGGAGCCATCATGGTGCTGCACGGAGCGCAGGCCTGGCGTTGGGGGACGTTGGGTGATGTCTTTGCTGCTTGCAAGTTTAGGGCTGCACAGTTTCCTGCCACGGCTGTTGGGCAGCGCTCGGTTCCCCCAAATGCAGCTCCTTGTTCCATGGGTGATGCTGAGGAACTGAGCTTTGGCTGGAGGTGAATTTTGCTTTTCTCCATGATCCCTGTCCTGCAGCCCTGGCCACTGCTACCCCCGTCCACTTCCTCCGTCCTCCCAGTCACTGCTTTCCTCTGGTGGCCCCGGATGGGAGCTGAGCAAACCTTCACACCTTGGGGTGTGCAAACCTTATCCAAAGCCACTGCTCATCCCATCCACCCTGCTTCGACCTATGGTTCCAGTAGCAGAACAGCAAGGAGGTACCTCCAGGGCTGAGCAGAGCCAGGCCAGAGTGATCTGAGAGCAGACCCCACACCCTGGCTCCTTGGGCACAACTTCACTACTGCCAGTTGGGAAGCAACGTCTACAGCACCTTTCATTCTATTTGTTAGGGATTCTTTCTCTTGGGTAATTTTTTTGGAGACTTCTTGATGTTTTTTGCTTGTTTAAGAATCGTCCTCTGCCTCTTCAATCCGTTTTTGCTTGCCATGCTTGCATGCAGTGGTGGTGAAAATCGGCTGTTGGTAATGTACTTAAACACTGCCAGGTCCTGCTGGTGTCAGTGGCCGCGTTCCTTCTGCCCAGGCCCAAGGAGGGGGCAGGGCTGCAGATGGATGGGCCATGGCTCTGTCCTCAGATGGAGTCAGGTCATTTCTTAGAAAGTGTACAGCACAGCTTCCAAACTGTCAAGATGACAGGGAGCGAAAGGTGGAAGTTCACTGGTTGCCTTAGGTACGTGCAAGAGATGGATCTTGCCAACAAAACACAAAGCTGCCTTCACTCCTGAGTGAGGGTTTTTGTGCCCTGCGCTCCCTCTGGTTCAAGGGGTGGATGATGAAACGTGCCTCATGCTCTTTGCAGCTGCTTTCTGGGCTCAGCCCCGTGCACACAGCTGTGGCCCAGGCAGGGCATACCCTGGAGTTATGAAAGGTGGCACCTGGTCCTGGCAAAGGGCTCTGACTCTGCTGGTAACAAAAGGGAGCCTTGGAGAGAGGAACTGCCTGCGGTTCAGCATGCAAGACTGAGGGAAGAACTCAGGCTTCAGCTCCTGGCTGCCCTGTCCTGGGGTGCCTCGTTGGGGTCTCATGGTTGCGTGGCTGGTGGGGAAGGGATGTGCCAACCCCTGTGCCTCTCTGTGATGGCCCATGCCTTGCATGGAGGTCCCAGGGCAGGTGAAAGGAGCATGCTCTGCCTGCTGTCTCCTAAAACACCTTCTGCTAACACTTGCCCTGTGGAGCTCTCATCTCCTGCAGCTAAGGACTCTGCTCTGGTTTCTATGTTCCTGAGCACTGGCTGTGAGTAAGGAGAATTGCTAGGGTTGAGAATTCTGGGGAAACAAAGCAGCCCATTGCTAGGGGCTGCTGAACCCTGACTATGCAGGGCTGCTTCAGACCAAAGCTCTTGGCACTTGATGGCAGAAGCAAGGTAGCAGTGCACTGGGACAAGTGTGATGTGGCCATGCTGGGTGCTTTTTAGGTTTGTTTGTCAGTAGGGAGCTGTGGCCACAGGAGGTCAGAGAGAGGTTGTGTGGTGCCAAGCATTCAGCAACTGCCACGGCTGCTTCATGGCCTTTCTCTTCTGGGACAGGTGGCCATATCTGAATTGCACTGATGGCTGTTTGGTGGGGGAGCAGAGGGCAGAGTCCTGCCAGCTGGGTGGGAAGGAAGCTGGTGTAATGATGGTGGATGGAGGGACAGCATCAGCAGAGCAGCAGGGTTGGCCCTGGCACCTGGAGATGGGGGCTGCTCCTCTCTCAGCATCTGCCTTCTTGCAGGAGGTAGAAGGGCTGAGAGCTACATCTGAGAGCTCCTGCTGATGGCAGTGCAGGAATGTTGCTGCTGGATTGGATCCCTGGCACCCTCCAGCTCCAATATGGAAGTTATCCAGGCTGTCCACAGCCCCTCTGGTCCCCCTCCTTGGGCTGTCCCTGCTGCAGGAGACACAGGGCTGCACAGGGCTGCAGAAACAAAGCACTGCCCCACTCCAGGTGCCTCTGTCCCAGCCAGGAAAGGGTCCTCTCTGGAAGCAGCAGGCTGGCAGCAGATCAGGAGCTGGGTGATGTCATGCAAAGGAAAATCACCAAAGGGCGTCCGTGGCGGCTGGGTGAGCTGGGGAGAGCAGATGACACCTGCATGGAGCACAGACCCATCAAAACAGCCCGGGGGCTCAGGAGTTCCCTGCCTGGGACAGGGTGAGGAGCTCAGAAGCTCTGGTTGTGGTCTTCTCCTTGGCACCGACCTTCTGGGTGACCTTGGGTGAGTTTGTCCCTCCCAAGCAAAGATGCTGTGGCAAAAGCTAAGCACCAAAACCCATCATTTTTGCTTCGTTTCTTCCTTTTTTAACACTCTGAACAAATCCTTAATCCTCCACGCCTCCATACCCTCTGTGAACACACTGGGAGGCCAGGGATGCTCACTGTTTGTGCTGGAGACCACCAGGCCTTCCCTGGGCTCCCAGCAGCTGCTACAGCATGGAAGGTCCCAGGAAGACATTTTCACCATTGCAATGGAGCCATCCCTGTTGCTGCAGCCCAGCTTTGCTGGCCATGGCTGTGCCAGGAGCTGAGCTGCTTGGCACGTTTGGGGAGAGGCTGCAAGGTCAGGCAGAGATGCAGAACAGAGGCTCTGCGCCTCCTGCAGCCCCTGGGATCGGTGCACCTCAGTGCCCATCCTGGGGCTGTCCAGCAGCACAGGATAAGCTTTGTTCTCCCAAATCCTAAACAGCAGTGCTTTTTGAAGGGCTCCGGTGCTGTGGCTGGGCTGCAGCAGCCAGCAGGCTCACAAGGTCACTGGAAGGGACATTAGCGCTTTGGGCAGCTCCGTAGGGAGCATCCCAGGCGTGCCGGCCACGGCTCTGCTCCATCACGGCTGCACTCAGGGCTTCATGCACAGTTTGCTAAGGGGGGGGAGATCTGTCCCCATCACAGGGCTGGGAAGGGGCAGGAGTGCTTGAGCCTGTTGTGCCACTGTCTCATCTGAGCTGGTGCTGCCTTGCTGGGGACAAAGCAGTGAATGCAATCCCTGCTTGCTTCAGGGGTGCAGGAGTTGGTGCTCACCAACAGGACCTCACAAGTTCTTTGCTGCTTGGTACCACCAGTGGCTGCACGTGGCTGCATTTCTGGGCACAAGGCTTGGCCTCTGGCATGGAGGATCAGAGGTGATGTCTTCCCTCCCTGGATCTGGCTCCCAGAGCCATTCAGGCCACGTTCCAATTTCCAGCTCCCTAAGGCTGCAGTGGGGACCCAGGACCTCTGCATTCTATTAATAATTCTCCATACTGATGTGCTGATGCCTCCAAATTTCTTCTGCCATGTTCCCAAGGGCTTGAGCTGCCACCAGAAGGCTTTCGGGGGGCAGCCCCTCTTCCCCACCCCATCCCAGAGGCTCCACTCTGTCCTGCTAAGCCAAACCAAAGCAGAAAAGTGCCTACAGCTCTCCCAGGCTTTGCCCTTTTTGGGACACACTGAGCCCACATGGGTCTCTGTTTGGCCCTCATGAAGACAAGGGCTGTTTTCACTGGGATCCTGCGAGCGGAGCATCACTCGTGACACTATTTGGACATTTTCTCTCCATCAACCTGCACATGCAACCCAAATATGCAACTGGTGCATCTTCAGAAGCATGGCTGACCTCTGAACTCAGGGAGCGACCGCCGCAGCCCCGAATGTTGTTTATTGCATTACAGATGATGAGTTCAAGCAAGGGCAGCCTGTGTCAGCAATGCGACATGAGCTCTGGGCTGCAGGGTGCTGTGCTTTGCTCTTTGTATTCCTGGTTTTGAGCCCAGCGGTGTCGGTAGGGCTTCAGAGCCCCTGGCCATGGAAACAGATGCTGGTGGAAAACACGCCCTGCTCTTCTCCACTGATGCTTCTCCCCATTTCTGTTCCCCACGACAGGCACCACGTCCATTACGTCATTCCGTATGACGGGGATCAGTCTGTGGTGGATTCCTCAGAGAACTACTTTGTGACTGACAATGTAACCAAGCAAGAGATCGATCTGATGCTGGGACTGTTGCTGGGTTTTTGTATCAGCTGGTTTCTGGTGTGGATGGATGGGGTTCTCCACTACGCTGTGCGAGCCTGGAGAACCAGCCGGCGGTACGGTAAGTGTGGCCCTCAGCACATCCTTGGGCCAGATGGTGGGCTCTGGTGGCTCCATGTTGGCCATTGCCAGTCTATGCATGGAGATGAGGGCTCTGCTCCGGGTGCTGGCTGTGTGTCTGAGCAGAGTACTGATGAAATCTGGGTTTCTTTGCACCCCTGGTTTGCAGCCGGGAGCCTCGCATTGGTTGCAGGCTCAGGTACAGCCTGCATGGCTTTGGCACGCTGGCTTTCTGTGTTGAGCTCCAGGAATGGAGCTGCTCCTTTAGGTGAGGGTGTTGTAGCACTGGCTGCCCAGGGAGGCTGTGCAGCCTCCATCCTTGGAGACGTCCAGGAGCCACCTGGCTGAGCTCCCCGTGCCCTTCTGGAGCAGGGTCCTTCCAAGTGAAGCAGAGGGCCCTGCCTGCTGGGGTGCAGTGCAGATGAGGCAGGAGAGCGCAGGTCTCGGCATCTCTGTAATATCTCCCTTCTCCTTTCTGCCTTCCAGACAATTCCTGGTCTTGGATTCCAAAGTTTTGTAACTTAAAGGAGTTCAGAAAACGTCACCACAGGCAGTACGAGGAGGCGACTGGGAACATGGTGCACATCAAACAGAAGCTGTACCATAACGGGCATCCCAGCCCGCGGCACCTCTGAGGAACGCCTTCCCCTCCAGAGACTGCAGTGAGGTTTTAAAGAGGACTTTGCTCTTCTTCCGGGGGAACAGCTCCTACTTTTACATCTCTCTGGAAGCCAGCGAGGACATCATTTTACTTCTCCATCCCGTGTGCCCCCCGTGGCACACCACGATGCACAACTAAGCCAGTCCTGGATGCTACGCAGCCAAGACATTGCACTGTGTTCCACGTTTTATTGTCAGACTTGTGTACATATGTAAAAAAAAAACAAACACCAAACAAACCAAAATCAGACAAAAACAACAAGAAAAAACAAAACAAAACGAGAAAAGAGATTTGCATTATACTTTCAACCCCCCCTTTTCCTGGCATTCACAGCTGTCCTGCACATCCAGCTGCCCTGCAGGGAATGTTGGCTGAGGGTATGGAGGTGGGAGCACATGAAGAAGATGCAGTTTCTCATCCGAGTGCTAGAAGTCCCCCGTTTCTTTGGTCCTTTGGTTTGGTTTTGCTCTTCTCTGTTACTTCTGTTGCTAGAATGGTAGTAGGTTTGGACAGGGGCTGCTGCCAGACAGATGGGAGGGCAGCGACCCTTTGCTTTGGTTTGTGTTTTTGGGCATTGCTACGGGGGAAGGAACGCGAGATGGATTTGTTCTTCGTGTTGCTGCACACTGAAACCTGCCTTAAGCGAGCTGAGAAATCTTCCTAGCAGGGCAGCAGCTCTGTGAGGGATCAGCCCAAGCGATGGGGCTGGTGCTGTTACTCCTCGCTGCTGTTGAGAGGGTGGAGAATGGATGGGGCTGAGAGGTGTTACACCTGGCTCGTACCCTGATCCATTGCACTGCAGTGAGCTGGGCTTGGCCTGAAACCAAACTCATCTCCCAAAGCAGATGCGACAGGAGGGGCTGAAGTCAAAGCAATGGATGCTCCCGTGGGGGTTTTTTGGTTTTGCTTCTGCTGGGCACAGCTTAGGCTGTGGGTTTCAGTGTTGCTATGATGCGCCTGAAGCCTCACTCCATACCCAGAGACCTTCGTGTCCTGCAGAGCAGCTGAGAGCGATGCTCGTGGGCAGGGATGTGCTGGGCTGGGAGCTGTGTTGTGAGCCAGGGAGGAGCTGAGAACCGAAGGTGGTGGCCCTGCAGCTGCCGTTGCTCCTTCGTTCCTTCTTTCATGGTGAGCAGGCTTGTGTTTATATGGGAAAATGTCCAGAACTAAAGGATGCTGAGCAGTAGCAGGACTGTTGTTTTTTTTTTTTCTGTGGGTTCCTTGACTCTGTCAATGGCCTCCTATTGGTTGCAATGTCAGAGGAGGGAAAATGGCACCATGACCCCCAGCTTTTCTCCTCCCAACCCTGGCTTCTCCACCTCGCCTTTTGGTTGCTTCCTATGCCCAGGCCCAGTTCTGTTATTTATGAGCCCCAAAACAGGCCAAGGGCCAACCACAGCTGCTCTCCCCAGTTCCTACCTTTGCTGTCCCATACTGCCTCTTGTCTTGGAGTCCCAGTTTCTGTCAGGTCCTCAATAGTTGCCCAGTCTGTACTTGTGTCTGTCTGCTTGACTGTCTGTCATTAGGGACTTCTGCGATGCCCACAGCCTCCTGTTAGCATCCGGGGAGCGATGTTTCCTTTCCAAGACATGAGGTTTTGCAGCCTCCTTTTTGTGCTTGCCCATAGGGGTACAGCCTCCAGGGACAGAAGATGCCCACCTCCATGGGCTCAGAGCAAGGGGGTGGCTGGCCAAGCTCTGCTTGCCCTTGTGCAACTTCTGGCACATCAATTGAGCTGTAACGTAGAACAGGTGGGGACCATTCAGCTCTGAGTTGAAGAGGGGGGTGACATTTTGCAGGGCAGAAAGTTTCACTGGGATGAGGACAAATATTGAGCCTTTGGAATAAGTTAAGGGGGAAAATAAACAAATAAAGAAACAGCCCATTTTAAAATAAACATTCTGCTTGGTGCCTCTCACAAAAGGGGTTTAAAGCAGCTATCTCAACTCAGAATTGAACGTACTGGCTTTGCCCTTCTCTGAAATTCGGCTGTGGTTGAAATACTAATTGTGAACCTTGCAGCTGGAGAGGGTGAGGTGGCAGCTGATTGTCTGATCCACACTGGGATTTCAGGATTCTGTTAGGCTCTGGAAGACAAAAAAACCGATCCTGCATGGTGCACATCCCCATGGCTTAAGAACAGAAGGTTTTCTAATCTGCTGTGGCTGCAGCAATCACCACGTGAGCTTCACTTTTGTTTACATACAGTCAAAACATGAAACAAAAAAGAAAATACTCTCAGAGCAATTAAATTCACTAGGAACAATTCTCTGCTCTTGAAGCCATGGGAAGCAGCCCCTCTCTCGCAGTGCAGGACACACAGAGCCAGCAGGGTTCTCATCCTTATTGGTTCTTATCCTTAATAAACAAGGGGCAAAGCTCTTCTCCATGCAGCAAGTCCACTATCCAGGAGACATGGTCTGTGCAAGGGCAATGCCAGGCAAGCTCAGCAGTTGGACTGGGTGATCTTAGGGGTTCTTTTCCAACCTGAATGTGAGAGACACGAAGCTCCATGGTCCTGAGCTCAGCTGGCTCTTTTGAACCCAGGGAGCTCCTGTAGATGTGACCCTATGGGATGTGCCCATTGCTCCATGCTTGGGGTGGGCATTCCCAGCACTGCAGTTGCTCGTTGCTCTGTCCCTACGAGGCTGCTGCTGTTTGGCTGTATGAAGTCTGCTGTTGCTCTGTCTTCTTTCCCTGTGCATGTGTTCGTTTTGCTTCTGTCTGGGTGTGGGGGTGTTTTCTCCTCGTTCATTGTCTGAGATGTACTACTGTTGACTTGTTTGTTGTTCTCTGATCCAGTCTTCCCCTCCTCCCCTCCAAAAAAAAAAAATCCCCGAAACAACCAACAAAACCAAACCAGACCACAACAACAACAGCAACCACCCAAAACCCAGCAACAGCCCCTCGTGAAAAGGGTCTGGGTGGGGAGAAAAGCAGTGGTGGCATGGAGGAGCAATCACTACAGGGTCAGGGCACTGCAGAATAGATGATGTGGGGTGCAGAACTGGACAAGCAGTGGGAGTGTGCTCCGTGTCCCAGTGCTCGGCCACCAGATGCTCTGAGGGAGGTTCCTGCAGCATTTGGTGGTGGAGGAATGTTGTGCTGCCTCAAGAGGGCTTATTTTTAGAGCAGAGACAGCTCTGCAAACTGTGCTTGCTGATCCTCCAGAGCTGGGATTGGTGCTGGAAACGTTCTCCCCGAGAGAAGCACATTGAATCCAGCCTGTGCCAGCCCTCCTCTGTTCCTACCACGTCCCTTCTTTGTAGGAGAGCCATGTGCTAATGAAGGCCATCTTGTCCAGTTGCTTCCTATCTGGAATCACTGTGGCCATGTGCTGTAGGAGGCCCAGAAGGGAGCCCAGAGCCACATCCCAAGTTTCACACCATGGCAGGGTGGTCTTGGTGGCTCTCACTGCTGTTCTCTACCTCATTTTCCAGTTGCATGCAGCTGGGAGAAGAGAATATCCAGTCCCAAATGATTCTAAAGAGCTGCTGAGATGGTGAAGGGAGCAGAGCATCTCCCAGGAGAAGAGAAGGCTATTAGGGGGATTTCACCCATCTGTATGAGTACTTGAAGGGAAGGAGCAAAGCGGACAGAGCCAGGCTCTTCCCAGCGGTGCCAGGGATGGGACACAGGCAATGGAGCATCAGGAAGCACTTTGTGCATGGTGTAGGTGCTGGAGTGCTGGCACAGGTTGCCCAGAGGTTGTGGAGTCTTCTCTTTGGAGGGAGAAGGTTGAGGTCATCCTGCTCCAGGCAGCACTGCTTGAGCAGGGGCTGGGTCCAGAGGTCCCCCCTAGCCTCAACCATGTAGAGATTCTGCAAAACACAAAGCTGTGCAGAGGGTGATAGGGAGCTGAAGCTTCCCTTCAGCCCACGAGCCGGTATATTGGTTTGCAGGAGCAAACAGCAGGAGCCCTCACTTACCTTGGGTACCATCTTGGAGGGCACAGGCAGGAGAGCCCTCAGGCAGTCCGACTCCAATGCCACCCTTCCCACCTCCACTTCTATGATGGGAGAGCTTCAAAGGTAGAAACAGCCAACAGAAGCTCCCAGAGCATCTCTAGAGGTGAAAGACCAGAAGTGCTTCCATTATCATTCAGCAGAAGGAGAAAGACCTTTGGACCAGAATGCATTCACCCCGAGTACACTGGTGGAGCAGACGTGTCTTCCAGCGATAGGGCAGTGCACAGGAGAGCAGGGCAGTGCAGCACAGGAGGAACCTGCCGGGATTGCCCTGCAGTGAGGACACAAGGCAGACCCCAGGGTGCTGCTTTCCCTGATTGTTAATCCTTCCTTTTTTTTTTTTCCTGCATTCAAACCCGTTCTGCATGCATCAGACAGGAGAGGTGCAACTTGAGTTGATAACAACGGAGGGAGAGATTACCCTCTGCTCCAAGTCCAAGCCCAGAGCAGTCCCTACTGTGGTTGAAAAGCAATAATGGCCAATTTTCTATTAAACACACCTGCCCGTGCAGATGGCATTAGGGCTGCTGTGCCCAAGCTGAGGGACATCTTGGAGCACGTGGTGGGGGAGGCAGCAGGAAAAGCACACTGTGATTTTATTTGGGTCAACGAGCGAGCCTAATTCAGCCATTCCTTCCCTTCCAGCGACATGTTTGTACAGTAGGTAACCAGTTCTGCTCCTGAAACTAAGCCCACCCTTTGCTGTTTGTCAGTAAAATATTCTTTTTGCATGTTTTGCATCCGAGTGGTTTTTCTCACCCCTCCCTCCCCATTCTCTTTGCACTGAGCGATGCTGCTGGGATCAGAGCGAGGCTGGATTGGGGTGGGGGAGGCAGATGTGCTCAGCCCTGAGCTGGGAATGAGAGAAAGAGGGGCCACGCCATTCCCAGCCTCTGCATCAGGGCTGGGTGGAGAGATGCTGAGCACAGCAGTTCGGTGACAAAGTAAACGCTGGGCAGGATGGCAGTGAGGACAGATAGATGACCAGGCTGTAAATCTGCCTCCC